GCCCAAGAAGACAGAGGAGGGCTCAAGGCCCATGGTCGGCTCAAGGCCTGCAGCCGTAAACCGGCGTTAGTAGTTAACCTGTATTGTAAGTTAGGAATAAGAAGAGACCAAACCGGACACATTTATAAGCCGGTATTGGGACTCCGTAAGCCGACGAGAGTCACCCGTGTATATAAGGGGACAACCCGGCGGCGGTTCAAGAACAACAGACAACAACTCGAGACATAGGCGAAGCTTGTTTGCTCCCTAGTCATCGAAACCCCATCAATTCCATCACAACTAGACGTAGGCTTTTACCTTCATCGAAGGGGCCGAACTAGTATAAACTCTCTTGCGTCCTTGTGTCCGCTTTAACCCCTTCAAGCTAACCCGTCGCGATGGCTCCACGACTAAGTCCTTTCTCTAGGACATCTTCCGTGACAAAACCACGACACGTTCCACACCGATCTACGAGTACTGCAGCTAAGCGCATATGATGCAGTTTTGGGCATGGATTGGCTATCTGCCCACAGTTCGATGAACTGCCACTGGAAACTGAAGCGGATATCCGTCGAAACAGAGGGAAAAACGGTGCAGTTACAAGGGGTTCACACCACTAATCTCTCTCCCACGGCTGGACTGGATGCTTATGAACTTCACCAGATGGAAGTCGCCAATGATATCTGGACGGCAGCGCTGGTTACCGTCGAATCTCCAGCGAAGGAGAACACTAAACCCGTACCCCCCCCCCAATATTCAGAAAGTGCTATCTGAATATCAAGATGTGTTCGTTGAACCAATGTCACTGCCTCCTCATCGTTAGTATGATCACGACATACACCTGGAGCCTGGCACCACGCCCATCAATACCAAACCGTACCGTTACTCTCCAGCATAGAAAGACGAGATCGAGAAGCAAGTGCATGAGATGTTACAGTCGGGGGTCATTGCTCACAGCATGAGCCCGTACGCCGCCCCGGTCCTGTTGGTGAAGAAAAAGGGTGGGAGCTGGCGCTTCTGCGTCGACTTTCGCCGACTGAATTCTGCTACCTGAAGAACAAATTTCCCCTGCCAATTGTGGATGAACTTCTGGACGAGCTCGCGGGAGCGCAATACTTTTCTAAGATCGACCTACGCGCGGGGTATCATCAGATCCGTATGCGCGAGGAGGACGAAGCAAAAAACTGCATTCAAAACCCACCACGGGCATTACCACTTCAGGGTGATGTCGTTCGGTCTTTGCAACGCACCAGCCACCTTCCAATACTTGATGAACAACATCTTTGGTCGCTACGTCCGTAAGTTCATCATCATTGTCCTTGATGACATATTGGTTTTCAGTCTCGACCTACAGGAATATGAACAGCACTTGTGACTCACGCTCGAGTTACTCCGTGAGCATCAACTGTTTGTCAAAGCGTCGAAGTGTTCGTTCGCCCAGAAGAGCATCGAGTACCTGGGACACGTCATCTCTAAGGACGGAGTCGCCACCGACATAAGCAAGACGAGCACCATGCAAGCCTGGCCGGTGCCCTCCACACCAACTGAACTACGGGGTTTCCTTGGCCTAACCGGCTACTACCGCAAGTTCGTTCTGCACTACGGCATCACCGTGAAGCCGCTCACCCAGCTCCTGACCAAGAAAGGATTCGAATGGAGCGACAAGGCCCAGCAGGCGTTCTACATGCTCAAGCAGGCCATGGTGAGCACACTAGTGCTGGCGCTTCCAGATTTCTCACGCCCCTTCGCCATCGAGACCGATGCTTGTGACACGGGCGTGGGCGCGGTGCTCACCCAGGACGGCCATCCCATCGCCTACCACAACAAGGCCCTGGGGGTGAAGAACCAGAAGTTGTCCACGTATGAGAAGGAATTCCTGGCGATCATGATGGCCATCCACAAGTGGAGGCCCTATCTGCAGCGTGCCCCGTTCAAAATCGTCACCGACCAGAAGAGCCTCTGCACGCTCGGCGATCAACAGCTGGTGACTGAGCTGCAGCGCAAGGCCATGTCCAAGATGGTGGGCCTGCAATTCACCTTCCGATACAAGAAAGGTGTCGACAATGGCGTCGCTGACGCACTTTCCAGGGTTGGACATCTACTGACACTTGACGCGCTGTCAGTCTGTCAGCCACAGTGGTTGCAAGAGGTCACCAACTCCTACGAGACCGACCCTGAATCACAAGAACTCCTGACCAAGCTGGCAGTCACCACCTCGGATGATCAAGGGCGCACTCTTCAGAACGGCGTGATCCGGCAGCGCGGGCGCATGTGGATTGGGGCCAATTCCGCGCTGCAGACCAAGCTGATCGCCGCTCTGCATCACAGTGTTGTTAGTGGCCACTCCGGCGCCACGGCCACGTATCATCGCGTCCGGAAGCTGTTCGCTTGGCCGGGCCTGAAGCGCGCCGTGGAGGACTTTGTCAGGCAGTGCGCCGTCTGTCAACATGCCAAGCACGAGCACACGCATCCCGCCGGCAAGCTTCAACCTCTACCAATCCCTACCGAACCATGGCACGATCTGACCATGGATTTCGTCGAGGGGCTGCCCAAGTCTGAGAGGTCTGACGCCATCATGGTTGTCGTCGATCGTCTGACCAAGTACGCGCACTTCATTCCTCTTCATCACCCCTTCACCGCTGCCCAAGTCACCCGAGCATTCTGGGAACACGTCGTCAAGCTGCACGGCGTCCCTCACTCCATCGTCTCGGATCGCGACAAGATTTTCACCAGCGCCATGTGGTGCGAACTGCTCGCCGCCGCCGGAACAAAACTGCTCTACTCCACGGCGTACCACCCGCAGACAGACGGCCAGACGGAGCGTGTCAACTAGTGCCTCAAGATGTACTTGCGGTGCGATACACGACACGTCTCGGCAATGGCGCAAGTGGCTCCCCGCGGCAGAGTTCTGGTACAACTCCGCTCACCACGCCTTGCTCAAGTGTTCGCCGTTCAAGGCACTGTACGGCAAAGAACCAAACCTGGGTAGCCTACCACACCTGAGCTCCACCCTGCAAGATCAAGCGGCGTCGCCAGAGCTGGACTGGACCACGCACACCGAGATGCTACGCGCCCAGCTCGCGCGTGCCCAAGCTCGCTTCAAGAAACAAGCTGACCGCCACCGCGCGGAATGCGCCTTCGACATCGGCGAACAAGTTCTCCTCAAGTTGCAGCCGTACGCGCAATCAACCATCGCCAACCGCCCGTGCCGCAAGCTCTCCTACAAGTTCTTCGGCCCCTTCGAGGTGACGGAGCGGATCGGAACCCTGACAGCCGCATCCATCTGGTATTTCACGTCTCCCAGCTCAAGCCCTTCACCCCAGATTACACTCCAGTCTTCGCCAAGCTGCCGCGAGTGCCCGATCTCACTGGTGGTGAAACGGAACCCGCGGCGATCTTGGAGCGGGGGATGATGAAGAAGGGCGATGCACCAGTTGTGCAACTCCGTGTCCAGTGGGCAAACATGCCACCATCAGCCACCACTTGGGAATATTATGAAGTACTTTGCCAGCGCTACCCATCAGCCTGTATCTGGGACGGAGCTCCATCTCAGGAGGAGGGCAATGTCACGCCTACTGATGCATCAGTAGCGGACTGAACTAGTGCAGTCAGTTATTCAGATAACTGAACTGCAACGCTAAGTGTGTGTGGGGGGGCTTTGGGCCAGTGCGTGCGTGTGGGCCAGAGGCCGTGTAAGGGTAGCCCAGGAAGGGCAGCTACATATGTACGAGACACCGGTCAGATCGGCAGCGTGTGATGAATGAACCCCGTTCCCCTTCCTCCAAGTCTCCTCCTCACCCACTCTGCTCTCTCCTTCCTCTCCCCAATTCTCCGATCGGGATCCAGGGCATTACAAAGCAAAACTACTTACCTAACGATACAAATAAGCCAATGCCACCGTACCCCAACTGAGTCCATGCTCCCACCCAGCAAACAACTTAAGCCACATAAAGGAAGCGTTCACGCCAGTGCCATCAGAGAAAAGAGTCTGGCTGACTACATACCACAAGTATGCCCTGGTATACTGCTGCACTGTTTCATCGTCCGCATCAGCCGGGCATTCCCCAAAGTGTTCAGCAATCCAATGATAACTTGCACCGGCGGACGTCCCTTGTACCCCTGGCTCCCTCCCTATGAGTCCAACCATAATCTCACGCCATCCATCAGAATCTGTGCTAAAACAAATAGGCTCTCCTTTGATGGGGAGTTCAATGATCAGAGAAACATCCTGCAAAGTGACAGTCATCTCCCTAGCATAGAAATGAAAAGTATGTGTCTCAGGGCGCCATCAGTCAACGAGTGTCGTGATCGCACAAGGGTTCATCTTCGGCATCGAACGAGACACGGGTGAGATGAAAGGGAGAAGCCCGGTCTTCCGGATATACTCCATGTATCGCTCGTCATACTTCATCTTGTCATGAACCGAACCGGACCTCAAGTGAAGCTGGTCAAAAACCCTTCCTTCATCTGCCATGAACCGTCCACGATGCAATTGATCATACGATGGATGGATAAGAGAAGCCATCCTGCAAATTACAAATGTATATGGTAAGCCCCGTTGTCATTTGCAAATATCCGCACTAGTGCAAAAACATACATACATGTGCAAAATTTCTATGCTAATTCTTCTTCCATACACCATATATGTGCATATAATTTTCTAGAACATAATACACCATATATTTGCACTAATTCTTCCATACACCATATATATGTGCGTACATATCCTAACCAAATTCATAGCACTTTCATAATAATCCTATATCATACATATTGTAAGCCATACATATCCTAAATCACACTAATCCCTACATTATCACACCAAAATCCACTATCCATTTCAACAAAAGGATGAACTAGGGTTTCACCCAAATCAATCAAATGGAGAGATTTCAACCAATAGAAAGAGGGGAAAGGGAGGAGAATACCTTGAGGATTCGAAGGGCAACCAGATCCACGAATCTTCGGCTCAGATCCACAGCTCTTGAGTGGGGAGAGGGAGGGGCGATTTGAGGGGCGCCATGGAGTGGGGAAAGAACAGAGAGAGGAGAGAAAGAACGAACAGAGAGCAGAGGGGCTCGGGCGGCGATGTAGTGAAGGGGTATGGCGCCCCGGGGCGGGGCGTCATGTCACAGCCCATGGCGCCTTGGGCCGAGGCGTCATGGGCCCAAGGCCAAGCCGACGTAGCAGTCAGCGCCGACGCGCATGGCGCTGTTGACCAAGGCGTTATGTTATCTAGCATGGCGCCCCGGGTGCGGGCGTCATACAGTTAAGGCCATTTTATGAAATATTTTTAAAAAAGAGCCATTTTGTGCTGAATTTTCGGCAAAGGGCCAGTTTTGTGATTTTTCACGCGGCAAAAGACATGCAGTTACGCAAAGCTAGCTTCTTGGAGTAGCTTACGCGGCTAGCCGGAAACTCCCCGTACATGAACCTGCTAATACTAGCTTGCTTTTACGTAGGTGTGCAAAGTTAGCTTCACGGAATAATATAGGTTGATCAATATATGTTCAGTTAAATGTAAACTCGCTATACGTGCTTTTGCTTGGGTCGGCTCTAGATTGATCAGATTAATTCTTGCCAAAACTTCAGGTAAGTTCACTTCAGGCTTTACTACTATTTAGCGATTGCCGATTGAATCTGATGTGATTGATCCAACTCCCAAAAAATTGGTGCTCCATCCACTACGGGACCGGGGACCATGATTAGCAATACCTAGCTGGAGTACTGAATAAAATTTGTGGCCCTCAATTTGGTTGAGGACACCAGTTTTCATTAGCACAACAGATGTTGCCAGGGACTTTAAGACATAGTGCACTGCCATGCAATCCTTTATCCCTCGCTTTGCTCTCATGTCCAGCTCTGGCCAAAGGTTTTCCCCTTTAGTTATCAAAACAAACTAAATGTCCATCCACAAACTTTACAAAGATTGATGAGGCTAAAGCACGGTGTCATATTGTAATGCATAATGGAGTTGTGCCTATGCAGATTTTTGAGAGTCAAGGATGAAGATTGGACTGGTGGACTTCTGCCTCTGTGCTTTGCTGAATGCATACATCCATCCACCAACATGCACATCCAGGAGAGAAGCGAGGCTTCAGATTTGGTAAGGTGATAAGAGTGGAGCTAATGACAACAATCACCCATGAATGGAGGATGAGCATGTCAGATCAGTTCGATTTGTATAGGTGACCACAATAATAATGGCCAGACAACAGAATGCTTCCTTGCAAACCAGACCCAGTTATGGCACGCCATGCATGTTTACCCCTTTTTGTGAGAGCAGTGAGCCAAAGTTCTGTGTGTCATGGATCGCTGAGTCTTGATCACCATAGAGATACGAGAGTAGGAAACACTTGCATCCATCAGGCCAGGTTGAAAATTTCCTTGACACCCATACAGCCGAGACATAGCACTAGGATGTCGGACTTGACAAGTACAACAAGAGTATTAATAGCCTTGATCGGGAGGCGCCTTCTCGGAACTATCCATAATCCTGCTGTTCTGGAAAATGTAGCAGAAATAAATCATGTATTTGCCTATCTGTATTATGAAATGTTAGAAGAAACCCAACACAAAGTTAAGAATCAAGTATATGATTAGTGACCTGCAAATTGTATACCCTTTCTTTTGTATGTGCATTGTACCTTACAAGATTTGGAATAAGCTTAACTATTGCAACAATTATTTTTCAGTATAGAATAAAGTTGCAGGGTAGTAGTTCTGTTATATTCAAAGCAAGATTCATTGTACTAGACGTTGTTTTCAGCATTAGCATGGTGGTACCATGGGAAGATAATAGTCCAAGGCTGGTCTCTTATTTTAGATAATGCTAGATTACAGTTCTGCTATAGGCCATGCGTAGGGAAAATCATCACTAACTGTAGTTCTGCCAAAATGTTTCCCATGTATATGATCATCAATTAATTTCACCAAATGTTCAAGAGAGAATACCTTATTTGGCCCTTCCTTAAAATTTGGTTCCTTTTTTGGCCCTGGTAAAAAAATTCTTCCTGTTTTGACACTCAAACTTCATTTTGTTCCCTTTATGACATTTCCGTCAGTTTTGACAACTAACACCATTAAATGCAACATGAAAAATCCATTTTACCCCTGATGTATTTTGTGACTAAAATTATGAGCTGGAAGTCAAAAGCTATGGCGATGTAGGCGCGTGGACAGAATGCTTCAGTGCCTTGGATTTGCAACGAAATTATATTATAAGATTGTACTGAGAAACCCATATTAATAAGAACCAGTGCACTAATTAACATGTACGAGCAGTACAGACATGCACAACAATCTCACGGTTTCTCTCTTCACGCACAACGTGTAGAAGAGATCCATCTCTCAATTTCTCTATTTGCACACAACACACACATCACATCACACACGCACGAAGAGTACACACTGGACCATGGAAAGCACGCAGCCACGGCGACCCAGTTAGCACGCCCCTGCCACCAACGGACCTCCGGTGTAATAACCCTGATTTTTAAGGATATTTATTTTAAGTTGTTGAGTTAAGTTAGATAATTAAATTTGTATTATTTGTTTAAATAAATAATTAAGAAAATAAGATATGCTACACCAAGATTAGTACATGGATAATGGGAAGATGTACACGGGTGGAGGAAATCCTCCGAAACTAAGTAGTACGCATGCCAATATATAGAGAACTTGTGAGAAGAGAAGAATAGGTGTGGAGTTTTTCCTCTGGCTCATGTCGGTCTGACTCAGCAGTAGTACAAAGTAAATAGAAGTACAAACTAATCATGAAGTAGCTAGCTAGCTATGTGGCCTGATATTTATGGGATGTACATGCATGTGCTGGCAACACTCTAGAAATACTTAGGACATTCAAATGGCTACGTGGAGACTTTGCATGGTGGCCACAGGTTTGTTTGGCCTTTGCACTAGTGAGAGGTGCAGCAACTGGAGGGTCTCGGGGCGTGACATCCGGTGCCGCGACTTGGGCCTGCACAGCGCCGCCGCGCCCTCCTCCATGCCTCGCACCGCAACTAAATTTTTCATTTTTTTTTCCGACGTGGTAAAGCAGGGGTAAATAAGACATTTCAAGTCACATTTGATGGTGTTAACAGCAAAAAGTGATAGAAGTGTCATGGGAGGAATAAAATGAATTTATGATGTCAAAAAGGGAAAAATGAAATTTCTAGGGCCAAATAGGGAACCAGATTTTAAGAAAGGGCCAAATAAGGAATTCTCTCAATGTTCAAATCCCTCAAAATAAGTTCATACAATGACAGAGGTAAACCTTTCTGTATTTGACATTCAGATTACTTTTAGCACTGAAATTCTGAATGACTAAAGTTATAATTATTCATGTCATAGATGTGACATTCTACATCTCTATTGCATTTGGCTCAGAATTACTAGCAAGCATGTATAAAAGTTTCACCATTTTAAAATTTTGCAGGGCATTCCTCTTTATGGAAAATATATATGAGTTCCTCTTTATGTCTTTACTTCTCCGAATGTCTAAGGAAAATAGTGACTACATTGCACCTAAGTGTAGTATGTATGTATGTTGTAGGAATATATACATATAGGGCATACAAGGAACATGACTCTTATTTTGTAAGAAAATGGGAAATATGCTCTGTTTGAGGCAAGAAATATACCTCATCTATACCAATATAAAAAGACCCAAAGAGGCAGATCCAATTAATCTCGGCCATCAAATCATGTCAATCCAACGACCTAGACTGCTTCAATGTCGAGCGCTCAACACGTTTAGCGTGCAGTTAATTCCATGCCAAATATAGTGCTAATCACATAATAACACGCAAATAATATCCTACTTAATATCAACATGCACTTAATATACTTCTAAATTAACGTGCAATGCACGTACACATTGACTATTTACAAACAGAGGAAACATTTGGGTAGGTTACGTGAATGTCACAGGTACTGTTTTCATGGTATAACTTATATTCTTTGAAGTTCAAACTAACATGTCCGTACAAGCATCAATAGCTGCCCAAAGAAGTTCCCTACGATCAATCTCATCCTCACTAAGAGCCAAGTGCCAATTACTGACTATGTTTCTGTGGCGGACGCTCTAGCCCCACGCTCCCACCGCGCCGCTGGCCACTCCGGCCACGGCGGCCACCCCATCCCCGGCTGCGACTTGGCCGCGCCAGCCACCCCCCGCACCGTGGGTCGCTCCGGCCTCGGCTGCCACCCGCGGCGTCTACCAGCTGCTGCCTGCTGGGCGGTATGGGACGGTCGTGTTCTCGTAGATCTAGCGCTAGTGGTAGCCTGCGCGCGGTCTCGCCTGCCTCCCCTGTGTCCTCTGGTCCGTCCATGGTGCCGGACTCGCAGCTGTCTTGCGGAGTCAATGCGCGAGATCCAGGTTCTCCGCCGCAGATCCTGCTTCGTGGAGAGAGCTCCACCGCTGCGCCCCTGCTTCACCCTGCGGATCTAGCCGCGGATCCTCCCTCCTTGCCGTTTTTGGAGCGACCACGCCTTCACTCCATTGTAGTTGCACCCGCTGCTGGCATCAATCCCTCCCCTGCAGAGGCGGGCGGGGATGGACCGACGTCTCATCCCAGAAAGACCGGCGCCCAAGCTCTGGCATGGCGGGCAATAGGCCGCGCCCCCCTTCGGCCCTTCATGGCCGCCGAGGCGACTTCAATGCTGCTGCCGGCCGGGCTGCCTTCTTAAGCCAGTTCCGGGGGAAGTGCTTTCGTTGCCTGAGCAAGAAGCATTGTAGGAAAGATTGCCGCGACCCAATCTGCTGCATCATCTACAACCTCTCTGGTCACTTCGGCCGGGAGTGCCCTCAAAACCCCAAGCGCAACCCCGCCGCAGCCACCGCCCGGGTGCCGGCGCGGGATAGACTTCGCTTCCCTGCTGCTGCTGCTGTGCCTTCGTCCCCCGCCCCGTCGCCGCCCCTCGCCATGGAGGGCACCCACGTCGCCAACCCCGCGCGCAGCCCGCGACAAAGCTGCAAGGTGGTCATGTCCACCCGCACCCTGGAGCACGCCACCTTCGTCCTGAAGCGCCAGGCGGTGTTGCTCACGGCAGCGGACGCGAGGCGATCCTCCAGCGCCATGGCGGTCAGGCAGGAGCTCGAGGCTCGGTTGCGCATCCCTCTGCACCTGCTGTGGATCACCAGCCACGACCCGAAGGACTACCTCATCATCTTGGATCTGTCGATCCATCAAGACCAAGTCGTCAAGCTGGGCTCCCTGACGGTCGACGGCGCCAAGTTCTTCATCAAGCGCTGGCACGAAGACGATCACGCCGTGGTTCAGACCTTCAACTACCATGTCCGGGTGGTCATCGAGAAGATGCCCCAGCACTTCTTGTCCGTGGAGGGGGCCGAAGAGGCTCTCGGCTGCCGCGTCGACCGCCTCGACAATCGCACTTTCGAGCGCAGCCACGCCAAGAGCTTCGCCTGCTGGGTCTGGGTTTGGGATGTGGCCCTAATCCCGACCAAGCACACGTTCTGGCTGATGGAGCGGGGAGCGGGCCGCGTGGAGATGCTGGGCTTCTCTCCGCCCGGCCGTGTCTTCGCTGCGCCACCTTCTGCAAGCCGCCATGATGTCCTCATCCATGTGGACCGCATAGGACTGGTCTCCCTACGAGCCGCGATCACCTCGCTCTGTGCAGAGCGGCCTGCCCTCATCGGACTCTGACGAGGACGACAGGCCCATGCCGCGGATCATCCCTGCCGGCTCCTGGAAGAAGGGGGTGGAAGATGGCCAGCGTGAGCCGCAGCACCGTCGCCAGCTTGCTGCGCTTGCGGACATGGGGTACCACGGCGCCCCTCGCGGAGGTGGTGGCCGCAAGGACGACGACGGAGAAGATCAGGGTGGGCGCAGGTCCTGGAAGGACACGCTCCTAGGCCGGAGTCGTGCCGGAAAGGAGGTGGCCGACCAGGAGGGCGCGTCTCGTCGCCGCAGCCGCTCCCCCCTGGGCAGCGTCGCTCCGAGAGCTCGCGGGGCCGCTGCAACTCAGGCCGCCACCATGCTGCGGGCGCGGGGGCCGCTCTACTCCAGGCACCGCATCCCCTGCCCTCGCCGCCGCCCGCTGAAGCTGCACCAGTCCCTGACCCGATCGCCGACTTCTTCGCCGGCGCCAAGAACCAGCTCCCGCAGCCACCCCCCTTCGACTGCATGGCTGCTGAGCTGGAGGCCCACGTGGCGGCTGTGGTCTCGGCCCCTCTGGAGTTCGACGACCAAGTCAACAGCATCCACGCGGTGGCCACGGGCTTGCCGGACGTCTTCGGCCCAACCCTGGCCGGCCCAAGCGCCGCGGTGGGCCACCTCAGTCGCAAGGAACCGGCCCGTCCCACGGCGGCGGAGATGCAGCTGGGCGCCGTCACCCACCAGGTCTGCTGCCTCCAGCTTGGTGCAGAGAGCGAGGCTTCAGACCCGGCCGCTAGCCCGCTGCGCCTCTTCCAAGCCACCAAGCCGCCGTTGGTGCCTGAAGCGTCGGTGCGCCGATCGTCTGCCCCGCCCAAGACTAGGGTCGTGCCTGCTCCTGTTCGCCACAGCGCCCGACAAGCTGCAAACCCGACATTCGTGCCCGTCTCGCAGCGAGGGACCCTGTGGCTGGTGCGCAAGCTGGGC